CAACCCGCAGTAGCCCTTGCCCCTGCAGAGCCATAGCTGACCTGCTTTTTGTCTGGACAGGTTTGTCTGGTTAAGTCTTACCATGACCATCTTTGATGAAACAACCCCAATGACCTTATTTTGCTGGCAGAATAATGATGCAACTCTTTTGTTTTTGTTTTGTTTTTGCAGGTCTCTTGGATCTGGTCCTAAATGATATTTCAGACTTTCACTACCTCCTCTTCCAGCCTCCCCCTTAGCCGCTCACTATATTCTCCATCACCAACTCCTCTGTAATGAGATTAGTTAATCTTACAGCTTTAACTCATTCTTCAAGGTCCATTTCAAGCTATAATCATGACAGCTGCCAATCACCCATCATTTATTATATTCCAGTCACCAGTTTACGCAGATTCCTTCATTCAATTTTCACAAAGACCCTGTGAAACCATTGCTGTCATCATCTGCATTTTGCAGATGAGGAAAACAGAAGGGTAGAGTAACATGGGCAAGTCTGAGATCTCATAAGAACTTGGATTCATGTCCAGATGATCTGAGTCCACAACCCCAGTTTTTAGCCATGATTCTACTGCTCACATGATGATGAATTCAATACATCATGTCAGAATTCAATACAGATGAACGACCATTTATTTGGCAACTGCCATGCATAAGTCACTGTCACAGACTCTGGAGGTGTTGACAATGGAAAGTTGATTAAGATGGTTCCAGCCATCTTACTGACACATTCTTCCTCTAGGTTCCCAAATTGATTACAGTTGACATGACATGATGCCTTGAACACTGGTGTTCATGCACATTTTTGTCACCACCAATACACTATTACTTCCTTTTGCCTAGAGGCCTTTCTGTTTGTTTACATTCTATAAAGGTAAACAAAGATATGTTTATTGAATTCAAAAGAATTTCATTCTTACTTCAACTTGTTCCGACTTCCCCAGGGAACTTTCTGGGGCAATGCCCCATCCTGTTCCTGCTGGAAAACAATGTTATCAACTACTTGGGGGACCTGGGCCTTTTTCATTTCAGCATCTAATAATAATAGCTAATTTTTATTATGTACTTTCTTTATTCTAGGCATTTTTAAAAAAGATTTTATTTATTTATTTGACAAAGAGAGAGATCACAAGTAGGCAGAGAGTCAGGCAGAGAAAGAGGGGGAAGCAGGCTCCCAGCGGAGCAGAGAGACCTTGAGGATCCCAGGACCCTGAGACCATGACGTGAGCTGAAGGCAGAGGCTTTAACCCACTGAGCCACCCAGGTGCCCCTATTCTAGGCATTTTAAAATGAATATATTAATTTAGTCCTTAGAAAATCTGGTGAAATAAAATCACTATTTTTCGATTTTTATTTATTTATCTATCTGAGAGAGAATGAGCAGTGAGAGAGAGAAGGAGACTCCCCACTGAGAAGGGAGCCCCATGAGGGGCTCGATCCCAGGACGCTGGGATTATGAGCTGAGCCGAAGGCAGACACTTCACCGACTGAGCCACCCAAGTGCCGTGAAGTAAACTTTTATCTCCATTTTGTAAAAGAGAAAAGTAAAATGCTGTGAGTTAGGCAACTTGTCCATGGTTGTGGAGCCAGGACTGATGCCTGGGGCTGCCAGCTCCCAGAGTCTGATTTTGGCCTCTTTGCTTAGTGCCTCTGATTTTAGTCACTGTACTTCCCAGTGGCTCTGTAAACACATCTTGAATAAAGAGGCCTTGTTTTGAATTCCTGGCACTGCTTTAGAGTTCTTAGTATCTCATTCTAAACTGCCTTTATAATATATGTTGACATCCTCCACGGTTATGACTCCAAAGAAGGAGTCAGTTTGGGGCTTCTTTTGAGTTGTTCTGGATACTTAAGGTAATTGCTGGGTTCTTGAACAGATGTCAGAAAAAGGCTTGGTCTGACCCTGGAAGACTGGGCTAGTCTTTATCCAGATCTGATCTGTGAGGTTAGATGGCCCATTCTGGGCTCCCTGTTCTTCAGAGGAGAAATTTGAGTCTTAGTCTCTGGAAACTGCTCCTTAAGGGAACAGTGACTATTGGCAGGTGGAATGAATGAAGCACCTTACCCTGGGCCAAAGACTCACAGGAGCTCCAGGGCCTATGTCTGCTCAGAGTGGGAATTAGGGAGAGACAGAGACACATCCATTGGCTATCACTCCTAGCTCAACCTGCCTGCCTGAAACTGATCTCACTCTGGGGGAAAACAAATGCAAAGGCTTTTGAGATCCTTTAACACTGTCAAGATATTTCCCATATTCTTCCTAGGTCCACCTTTCATCATTTAATTTAGCATTTAAGGTACAAATCAATTTAATACAATAAAACAAATATCATGTATTTTCCAGAATGGAGAGTGATAGTTTCCCTCTCCTGCCCCTTCCCCCTCCCCCACCTCCACTCTAATTAGGTCAAATCTTGATAACTTCATTCTGGTATTTCCTTTTTAGAAGACCATAGACAAATGAGATCAGAGACCAATGACCCCGAGTCATCTAGTCATTAATTTACTAACAAACATTTTTCTTATCTTCAGTGTGCAAATACTGTGCTAGGTGCTGAAAAATTTGAGGGAGGAAGATAGAGAAAAAAAATCCACTTTTTTTTTTTTTTTTTTTTTTTTTTAGGATGGTGAAGAAATTGGAAAATACAATGATAGCTACTTCTGACATCTGAAGGGAAGAGGAGGGCCCAATTTTTTATATATGGCCCCCAAATAAAACTGAGGCCAACTGATTAAAATAATAGCAAGACATCCTAAGCCATTGCAAGGAATGACTGTCCAAGTATAAACCACTCTTTTCAAGGTAGTGACTTCCCCATCCCTAGGGCTGTCAGGCCACTTGATAGGTGTGGTATATAAGGAAAAAATATTACTCTTATATTAGAAAAAGAGACACTGGAGGTCTGGTTGAGTTGGATACAATTTAATACACCTTCCAGCCTTGAGATTTGCTAGTATATGTAAAGTCCAGAAAGCCAAATAATGTAATAATATATAACAGAATGATAACCTCATGTTAATAAAAAACCCCAATAATTATACCTGTACAGTTTTATTCAGCTTGGCTCCTCTCTGGGACCCTTGTGTCAATCACCTAATAATACTCAGTGGTGAGAAAGAGTGATACATCTCCAGGAAGGGAAACCAGATTGCTCCCATTTTCAGTATGGAGGTCACCAGGCAGATGCTCTATCACTATCTCTGGGGGAAACTGAGGCACACAACAATGGAACCATGACCTTTGGAAGACCATCTAAAGCAGTATCTGTATTTTAGTGGTTGAGGTGTCAAACAAAGCTTCTAGAAGTTGGTCGTTTGTGCCCCATTCCATACCTGACCTATGTCTAGCTCTGCCCCAAAGAGATCCTACTTTGCACATTTGGATGTCCATTCTTGCCATTTTCCGGGATAGGAGATATTCTCATATTGTAGCTGGTATAGATAAAACTCCCTCTTCTTCCACTGACCTATGACTTACTGCATTATTGTCTCATTTGAGTCTTACGGTTTTGCCCGCAAGTTTTTCGAGAGCTTCTCATTCCCAAGCTCATGACTGTTGCGTTTGGGTTATACTTCATTGCATAGGGCTTGCCAAGGAAAGGTAATTTGCAGAAAAATAAAATGTTCTCTAATGTATGCGTGTGTTCCCCCCACCTTTAAGGTGAAGCCTGTGGAGTGCCACACTTCACAGAACAAAGCTGGCAATGAAGAGGTCAGGGTCATTACTGGGTTGGGGGTACAGGGTGGAGGGGTGGTTTGAGAGCATTGGCCCTAGCAATAGAATACCCACAGGTTTGCTTTCCGATTCTGTAACACTTGCTGTGTGACCTTTCATCAGTTCCCTAACCTCTCTGTGCCCTGGTTTCTTTATCTAGAAAAGGAGAATAATAAGATTACCTTGGGTGTGGAATTGGATAAAATAACATATGCCTGTAGCACACAGTTAAGCACTTAATAAGTGTGAGCTGTTATTATTACTATTAGTGAGAGTTCTCTCTCAATGGTACTGTCAATCCTGTGGTTTCTTAGGAGGACTCAACTGTGACCTTATAAGGAAAAGAAAACGGAGACCTACACACCTCACGGGAGTCTGACCCCGGGATGGGAGTCACGCATCTGCGATCACGACCTCCTTTCCAGGTAAGCGCTGTGACTAGTCCACTGAGCGCGGGGGCGGACTCACGTGAGCCAGGCCCACCCTCTCGTCTGTTTTCAGTCCTCAACAGCTCGGGGGTGGAATCCTCCAGTCAGGGCTGCCGCCCAGAGCACATGGCGACTTATTATTGCCCCCTAGAGAACTGGGAACGTCAGTAGCAGGAGCCAGTCCTCATTGCCAAGAAGTACTTAAAACGCCTCACACTTGTAGGTAGCGGTGAGACTCAAATAAGATCGTAGCACCTAGGAGACCGTATGATTTTAGCTATTTCTGTTATTACGGAGTAGTAATAGTAGTAATTCTTACTCTCTTTGACAGTTTTCTTTACCAGACCTGCTGGGGAGGGGGGGTGAGGGGGTGGGGGGAGAGACTACAACAGGGCTCTCTCTCCCTTAGACTCAGGGTAGCCGGCAGGCTCTGACTGTGGTTCTCAGTCCCACACTCTGATATAAAGTAGCTTTTCGGGGGCGACAAACTTGTAACCTCTGGCCACGTAGAGCTAGCTCTCTCACCTGCCTCCCTGAGAAGTAGCTAGCGCGCGCTAAGGGTTAAGGGACAACCTAATTTCGCCAAAATCCTTATCAAGAGTTTTTCATACTCCTTGCTTCGGCCTGCCCCCAGTTCCCTTTCCCGCCTTTGCTCCAGGGGCATTCTGATAGCTATGTGGGTGGGGAGGCTTGCCTTTTTTTTTTTTTCTTTTTTTTTTTTCAAACAACCTGCTGAAAATGCTGCCCTCAGGGACCTGGGACTGTGGGTTGCATAAAAGCTCCAAGGAACTCTGTCCAGAACACTCGTGTTTGCCGCCTTCCTCCTTAACGTTCATTAGGGCCCTGTGCTCCCCGCTGGCATGATGCTTGGGAAGAGCCTGGTACTCACAGCCTGGTTTGCCCTGGCTGTGGCCTACCCCGTCATACGCCAGGGTAAGTGAACCACTGGGAAGTCTGTTGGAGAATGGAACTAAAATTTTTTTATGGGGTGTGTGTATGTGTGTCTTTCTGCAGGAACAGAAAGAAGTCAGCAGTGAAGATTGTAAAGGGAAATTCTGTCCACTTGGTGTTGAGATGGGGTGGGTGGCTGGCTGAACTCTGAAGCCTTGGACACATGAGTGGCTAGGCTAAGAGGTGGATTAGGTGCTTGAATTGACCTCGTGAAGTTACTAAGATTGGGCCAGATGGGCTTAGGGTGGGTGACAGGAGAACTCCTGAAGGTTTGCCAGGGTCCTATTCACTCTTGGGCCCAAAGAGGTCTTATTCTATATAGTGCATGCTGGAAAGTCCGGGCTGTGTCCTCATTTTATACAGCAGTATGGTTCAAAGTGCTTTGGCAGCTAATTCAGTCCCGTGGAGTGGAAATCGGTGGGTCTGGAAACCTGTGATTCCCACTGAGAAAGGAACGAGACAGGTGTCTGCATGAACCAGGCAGAAAGAAAGCTTTGGGGGGAAAGCTTTTCCCCCCAAAGCTTGCTTTCATAATTATTTCTGAATTCAATTTGATCTCTCAGGAGGAGGGGTGTTCATTCATTGGCATTCAAATAATTATTTCCTCCATTTTCTTCCTCCCGGTGCCTCCTCTGGTAACTATCACTTTTAACAGATGCTGGGTTTGGGGTTCTCTACTGCATATAAATGAATGCTAAAGCACAGTGACTAAATTAGAAAGCTAATGATTTGGGCCTCATTGCCAGGGTGCCTGTCACCTGGTCACATAGGCAGTCACAGAGCCTGGATATCTTTCAGCGTAGCCCAAGAAGAGCCTGGTTGTGTGCTCACCAGGCTTATAGGGTTATGATGCTCTATGGTAAGCAAGCCCCCAAATGTCTGGATTATGGATTCTATGGGACAGGCCGGAAAAATGAGGTCCTTGACTTCACCCATTAAGTGGAAACGTGATAGGAGTAGCCCATTTTAGAGTTGATTCTATTCTTGTTTATACATTCTTGAAAATAGCTGTTTTTCTAGCTCCTTGCCTCCTTTTGGTTTTTGGTGTTTGTTTTCAGGGACTTGGAAGGATTATAGGGGGGATATTCTTGGAATTTTTATTCTGTTCCAGTCTGACCAGTTTGCATACAGAGGCCCAGTATTGAATGTTCCTTCCTGCACTGACCCCTCAAAGCACAGTAGTGTAGGGACACCCTGGGTGGCAGTTAGTCTTCTGCACTTTCTAGCACTTGGCAGAAGAGAAACTTCGGGTGAGACCATACTTGATTCAATATATACCCTTTTATGTTCCGGCTTTTCCCCAGAAAGAGATCTAGCTTGTAATGTTGTAGAGATAGTGAAAATAGACTTCCTAGAAAGTACTGAAACTATTTTTTTTTTTTTTTGGCTCCTCTAGAATTCATTGGCGACCTAAACTTGATCACTAACCTTGAGTTGATCAATGAATTTGAGTTGACCACTGAACTAGAGTTGGCCATTGCAGAATCCATTGCCTTCCTGGAATCCCTCACTGACCTGGAGTCCACCACGACCCCTGAGTCCCCCATTGACCTGGAGTCTACTGACACCCTGGAGTCCATTGCTGACCTGGAGCCCACCATGACCTCAAAGTGCTCCACTGATCTGGAGTTCACTGCCACCCCCGAGTACCCTGCTGACTTGGACTCTACCGTGACCCTGGAGTCCACTGCCACCCCAGAGTCCCCTGCTGACCTGGAGTCCACCTTGACCCCAGAGTCCCCTACTGACCTGGAGTCCACCTTGACCCCAAAGTGCCCTACTGACCTGGAGTCCACTGCAACCCCAGAGTCTCCTGCTGACCTGGAGTTCCCTGCTGACCTGGAGTCCCCTGATGATCTGGATTCTACAGCGACCCCAGAGTCCCCTGCTGATCTGGAATCCACCTTGACCCCAGAGTCCACTGCTGACCTCGAGTCCCCCACTGACCTGGACTCCACTGCGACCCTGGAGTCCCCCACTGACCTGAAGTCTCCTACTGACCTTGCCTCCATTAGTGATGTGGAATCGACCATGGGTGTGCATTTTGAGGACACACAGGCTTTTGGTAGGTGACAGTTCTGGCTTGAGAGGAGGCCTGGACAGGAGTGGGTGGGCTCCCATTTTTTGCATTTCTGAGGGCAAGCCTGCTTTCCTCCAGTGTACTTGAGTCCCCAGTGTAAACTTCTGATCATACCCATCTTCCGTTTTCCTGTCCCAGAATTATCTCTTAAGGTGGAATCAAACACTCAATAGCTTTGAGGAAGCAACCACTAAAGCCATGGGTAGGGTTTCCTAACTTCAAAAATGCAGAAATTCCTTCCTCCCTCCCTCTCCCTCCCTTTTCTTGTTTACAGGCTATTGCCTAGAAATTTCCTGTGGTAACTTAGACATTTGGGGATACTTTTGCTGTGTTGAGGTAGAGTAAATTTTGGCAAAATTTCTCCGAAACTTGAAAATTCAAGCATTTTCCCAGAGTGTGAGGAATTGGAATTGGTTGAAGGCCAACAGAGCTACATCCCAGAGGTTTGCCCAGTGCTGGTCAGGGTCCCAGCCTTCGGGGCTTCTCAAAGAGGAGGCGCTCTTTGGTGTCTCCAGTGGATCAAAGGATGTGGTGGCCACAAAGGGGTTAATTCTTTTCTTTTCTAGTTCATTTCAATTCAGTTTACATAGAGAACTTTTTGAGAGAAGGTTATGGTAACTGTAAATCTTACTTGAATACAGACTGAACAAAAGAGAAAAATAATTTGAAACCTTCACAAATTAAGCAGTGGTTCTAATCCCTCTTTCAAGTCTTCACCTTCTTTCATTTTTTTTGTGTTCCACTTAGCCAAGGGACCATAAGATTTTGATGCCTTCTAGCCCCCACAAATAAACCCCGATACTTTAAGGAATGCTTGGAATTTTGGCTAAGACAGACCCTGGGGTCTTACCTTTCCATACTATCTGATCCTTATGTCTGCAAGTAATAGCTAATATGTATTGAGATTACGATCTTCCAGTCCTGCTCTAAGAATAGTGGGGGTTTTGCAGGTAGTAGTTGGAGGAATTTAGAAACTATGTAAGTGGGAAGGCCTATTAAAAAAGAGTAGTTTCCCTGGCTTTAAGATCTTTTCTCTAGGGGTGCCAGGGTAGCTCAGTTGGTTAAGTGTCTGATTTTGGCTCAGGTCATGGGTCCTGAGATCAAAACCCACATCAATGTTTCTCCCTCTCCCACTTCCCTGCTTATGCGCATGTGCACACGGTCGGTCTGTCTCTCTCTCTCTCTCTCTCTCTGTCAAATAAGTAAATAAATCTTCAAAAAAAAAAAAAATCTTCCACTAATTGCCTTCCCTAAAGAATATACATCATTTGCAACGTGAAACTCTACTTCAATATTGTGTTCTATCTACCCAAACTGTAGTGGTTGATTAAAGAATTAATCTATATTAATGATATCTCTTCCTGCCCCCCTCCCATGGGGCATTAGGAAACATTGATGTTTGACTAAAAGATAACATCTAGTCATTTCTGCTAATTAATATACTGGATCCCATACCTGATTGTCAAGAGATGTTTTCGGACTGTGGAAATTACCAATAAAATAAGACTATTTTTTTTTTCCTATATAATGCATTTATTTAACTTTTTCCAGTTTTATTGAGATGTAATTGACGTATAACATTGTAAGTTCAGGGAGTACAACATAGTGATTTGACATAAATACACATTGAGAAGCTTTGATTTTTTTTTTTTTTTAAAAGATTTTATTTATTTATTTGACAGACAGAGATCACAAGTAGACAGAGAGGCAGGCAGAGATAGGAGGAAACAGGCTCCCTGCCGAGCAGAGAGCCCGATGCGGGGCTTGAACCCAGGACTTTGGGATCATGACCCAAACCCAAGGCAGAGGCCTTAACCCACAGAGCCACCCAGGTGCCCCGAGAAGCTTTGATTTTTAATAGGAAGAGAAAATCCAGCCTTTAAATTTAAAATGTAAAACTCAGCCTTTTAAATTAAGAAACTCACTCTTTTATTTCTAGAAGATGTCACTGCGGCTGATTCAGAAGAGCCCATAACTGGAAGACCAGGTAAGGCCAAACATCTTCATCTTTTCTTTGCCTCTTCTCAGTCGTTGAGGGATTTATTACACCACCCCCCCGCCTCTTGGGAGGCTTTCTAGGACAGACTGAGGAAGACAGACTCTGGGAGGTACTCTATGTTTACACTCTTCTCACTCAGTTACCATGTTTGCTCAGTTTCTGGGGGAGTGGAGGGGATACACTTCTTATACGTGAAGATGTGTGTATAAGTCAGGGACTTCGGAGTGAGTGGAGACTTCCCCTTCAACCAGCTGCTCCTCATGGTGTGCATCTGTGTTTCATTTCCTCTGATAGGATTTCAGGCATGGCAGAGTGGGTGCCCCAGATGTAGTGGAACCCTCCGTTCACCAGAGCTACTTGAGGCCCTCAGCTGAATGCTAGACATACTGCGTGTGTGATCCTTACTGAAGTGAATATAACCAACCATTTCTTTACTTACTTGCAGATGAGCTAAGCACCTCTGTGTGAAGCAACGAGTCCATCTCAGTACTTCTTTGTAAGTTTTTTCTCTTTTGCTCTGATTCCTTAACTGGGGTTTGTTTGATACCATGTTCTGTGCTGGTTTTCACATACTGGGAAGGGAGTCCAAAGTGACTCAGTTAGAAAAACTCACATGGAGCTCAGAGGCAATCTTTTTCTTCTCTGAATTATCTTGCGAATCTGAATGTTCAACTAAATAGGCTTTAGGATAAAGTCCTCTCGAGTTTTCCAAGATTCCGTTTTTCCAGTCTGTCTAGGACATGGATTCCTCATTCAGTTTGTGGAATCTTTTTATTTTTATATTTTTATTTTAATTTTTTTAAAAGATTTATGTATTTATTTGACAGACAGAAATCACAAGGAGGCAGAGAGGCAGGCAGAGAGAGAGAGAGAGGAGGAGGCAGGCTCCCCGCTGAGCAGAGAGCCCCATGCGGGGCTCAATGCGGAGCTTGATCCCAGGACCCTGGGATCATAACCCGAGCCGAAGGCAGAGGCTTTAACCCACTGAGCCACCCAGGCGCCCCAGTTTGTGGAATCTTTTTAAAGGGAGAGCAGAAAAGGCATCAGATTTTCCAATACACAAAACCTACAATTCAGTTAAAAACTGTAAAGCCTTGGAGCTCTGAATCGGAAGGTCCCAGGTTTATATTTGGCCTCGCTTTTGGCTTTTTTGGAAGTCTCTGAAACGGTTTCTTCACGAAGTAAAATGGCTACCTGGACAGTGTAAATATCTCTCTGGGCACAAGGAGAGGAAGGGAGAATAAGGAGTTACATCTGAAAGAAATTGAGTCACATGTCCAAAGTCACAGTGGGCAGTGGGAAAGACAAGTCTGATCTCGAACACTGCTTACTCTTGCTAACCGCCCCCCCCTTTTTTTAAATTTAGGAAATGAAGCGGATTTTCCATTAGTTGTGAACATCACTCTTCTAACCACAAGTTTTTAAGAAGATCCTGAGCTACTGAACAAGGCTTCCATTCCATTATAGGAGACTGATTAACTGAAAAGGACTAGTAAGACATAAGATATACCAGCTGAGGATAAACTGAGTGGCGGGACTTAATACACACACAGAGGAGGGCTATCTCGTAACCATTCCCATCTCCTAGGGGCTCAATAAATGTTGTTTGGAATTGAATTTTGAGAGCGGTTTTTATTTTATGAAGGAACAGATTGCTTAGTTGCTTTGTGTTAGTACCAATAATCATTTTATTCCTCTCTGGTAGACCCTTTATAGCCAGGCTCCAACTCTAGAAGGCCCCAGGAAAGCATGAGATCAACTATGGAGGGTATATGAGTTTTCCTATTCCTGCTCTAATGAATTACTGTATACTTAGTAGCTTAAAACAGCACAGAACTGTTACTTTACAGTTTTGTAGCTCAGACGTCTGAAGGCATCTCACTGGGTTAAAAGTGTGTCATGATGGGGAAGCCTCGGTGGGGCTGAGTTCCTTTCTGGAAGAATCTATTTTCTTGCCTGCTTTGTTTGGCCTTCTTCATCTTGAAGGTCAGCAATGGCTGTTCGATTCTCATTGTATCACAGTCACTGATACTGACGACTGTCTGCCTCTTCCCCATGTAAGGACCCTGAGAACACTTTGGGCCCCACCTGGATAGCGCAGGATAATCTCTATCAAGGTAAATTGATAAGCAGCCTTAATCTCTTTTGCCATGTAATTTAACATATTCACTGATTGTGGGAATTAGGAGGGGCGCATCTTTGCAAGGCCGTTGTTCTTCCTACCACAGACAGGCTAGGGCATCTCACTCCAGAGCTGGTTTGGTTCAGTGCAGGGTGGAGACAGTTATCCATGCCTTTTTTTTTTTTAAACGATTTATTTATTTATTTCTTTGACAGAGAGGGATCCCAAGTAGGCAGAGAGGCAGGCAGAGAGAAGAGGAGGAAGCAGGCTCCCTGCTCAGCAGAGAGCCCGATGTGGGGCTCGATCCCAAGACCCTGAGATCATGACCCGAGCTGAAGGCAGAGGCTTTAACCCACTGAGCCACCCAGGCTCCCCCCAAAGTTCCTCTTTTCTTAATATATTTCAACAAATAATACACCAATGTTTGGGCTTGTTAATTCAAAGAATTAACAATTTTTCCCTGAAAATTATTCCATTTTCTCCAGTCATTATGATACAGTATGCAATAAATCCCTCACTCTTAACGATAAGTTTGAACTAGAGCACGCCCAATCTTAGGATTCTTTTTCCTGGCTTCATCAAGCCCCTAGTCTCAGGTCTTTTTCTCTAAATAGAAAAGTAGTTCCAAGGCCTCCGCTGATCCCTTTTAAGGTGATAAATCTATTTCTGTTTTGCCAATCACTATTTTTCCCATTTTTCTTCCCATTTTCTTCTTAGTCTCAAGTAGATTTCAGCATGGACTTTTATGATGGACCATTGGAGTCGTTTGTGAAATTAAGTCAGGAAAAGTTAGTGGATTCAAAATAGGCACTCATGAGGACCTATTTAGAGTAGAAAAAAGATTTCATTTCTAATTCCAAATGATTAAAGGTGGCCACCTAGAGAATAATGAGGTGAGTACCAAACCTGGGGACTGCTCGAAGAGGGAATTTATAATGTGTGCTGGGTATTTTGCTGATCCTGGTAGGAGTGGCGTTAGAAACAGTATACACAGGAGAGGAGTAAGGCACCTAAGACAGCCCTGAGGAAATCTGACATACAGAGCAAGCAAATGACAAGGAGCCCCACATAATTACTGTCCTCATGATAGCGGCTACCACTGAAGGCTTCTATGTGCCAGGCAGGGACTGAGCTGAGAGCTTTATGTAAGTTACTTATATCATGCACATGTTGGTATGATATTAATTATACAAAATTAATTGCACTCTGAAATGAATAAACACTATTTGCATAATTTATAAACAAATAGAAATACTGCACAAGTTTTGGTAATGTGTAAACTGTTAGTTTCTGTAATCCAGGAGCATCCCAATTTTCAAATACTTGGTTTGCCTTAGGCCATTTGCATTTACTGCAGTGATTGATACGCTGGGGGCTTAAATTTGCCATTTTACTTTTTGGTTTTGGTTTATCTTGTGTTTCTGTTATTGTTTGGTCTTTTTTTTTTTTTTTTAACTGTTTTCTATGTATTTCCTTCCTGTGGGATGCTTGAATGTTTAAAAAATTTCCATTTGGGTTTCTCTGTAGTATTTTTGAGTGTATCTCCTTGTACAGATTTCTTTAGTGGTTACATACGGTATTATACATTATATGCACATAATTTACCACAGTCTGCTAGGGTCAGCATTTTACAACTTTGAACTATAGAAATCTTACCTCCTTGTCTCCCTTACCTTCCTCTCTTTATAATATAATCACCTTAAATTATTCAGGGTGCATACATGTAGAACCATATCACATAGCATTATCATTTTTCTTCAATGGTCAGACATATTTAGAAAGCTCAAGAGAGGAGAAAAGCTGTCTTTTATTCCCCCATATTTTCCCCTTCTTACGGTTTTCTTCTTGATGTTTCACAGTTCCTTCTTTCATCATTTCCTTTCTGTTTGGAGAAAAATCCCTTTAGCCAGTTTTTAAGTAGGTCTGCTGGTGACAAATTATCTCTTGTTTACCTTCATCTGGTGTCTTTATTTCCCTCTCATTCCTGGAAGATAAACTCACCATCTGTTGAAAATAGGATCTGTTGAAATTAGGATCAACAGTTCTTTTCTCTCGGCGCTTAAAACATGTGCCATTTCTTTTGGCTTTCATTGTTTTTGATAATGTTTTCTGCTATCATTTGTGTTACATTTCCCTTTTAGACAAGTTGTTACTCTTGCTGCTTTTAAGATGATTTTCTTTGTCTATATTTTCAGATGTTTCACTGTGTGTCTTCGTGTAGATTTTATCTTGGCTGGAGTCTGCTTGCCTTTTTGAATCTTTAGGTTACATGTTTTGCCAAATTTGGGAAGTTTTCAACCTTTACTTCTTACAGGCCTGCCCTCTTTCTCTTCTCTTCCTGAGACTCAGATGACTGCATATTAGGCTTTTGTTACAATACTATAGGACCTTGAGATTCTGTTAAGTTTTTTGTTTATTTTTTTTTCTATTTTCTCTCTGTTGTTCAGATTGCATAATTTCTATTGTTCTATCTATCCAGTTCACTGATTTTTTTCCCCCCTCAGCTGTTGAATCCATTGATTAAGTTTTAAAGATTTGGTTGTTGTAATTTTCAATTTTAATTTTCTAAAATTTCCTTTTGGTTTATTTATACATTCATTTTCATTGTTGAGACTTGTTTCTTTCACTGAGTTTCTTTTTTTATTTTTTAAGATTTTGTTTATTTATTTGACAGAGATTACAAGTAGGCAGAGAGAAAGGGGGAAGCAGGTTCCCACTGACCAGAGAGCCCAATGCGGGGCTCCGATCCCACATGAGATCATGACCTGAGCTAAAGGCAGAGGCTTTGGAGCCACCCAGGCGCCCCTCGCTGAGTTTTTTAAAAAATTTTTTTCATTTGTTTTAAGTATGTTCGTAATTGCTCATTGAAGCATTTTTATGGTGTCTGGTTGAAAATCTGTGTCAGATAATTATAACATCTCTCTCATTCTCTTTCTGGCAACTACTGGTTGTCTTTTTAGTCTGGTTGAGATTTTCCCGATTCCTAGTGATTTTCGACTAAACCAGGATATTTTAGGTATTGTGAGACTCTGGATCTTATTTCAAGCTTCTGTCTTAGTTGGCTTCCTCTGAGACCACTCCAGTAGGGGAAAGGGATTTAAGGGGATGAAGCACACTACATTTTTTGTGGGTGGGGGGGGCATAATTATAGGTTTTCCCCTCAACCTCTGTTGACACTAATCAGGGACGGGTTCTTCCAGTATTGCTGGATGAGGGATGGAATTCTGGTTCCCTAGGAGACCCCATTGGCCCCACTAGGCCTCCACTGATACCACCTGTTCTTAGGTGTAGAAGTGCCTTTTTACTGCTTTCCATGTAGTTTCTATGGACACCACCCTGGTGTGGA